TGATGAGAAGTAATTAAAATGATGAAAAGTAATTTTTTTAGAAGGATTCTTGTTATATGAATATTTTTGAATATTTTATATTTATCAATTATTTTTGAAATTAATGATTTTTATGTTACTACTGTAATAATACTATTCCAGCAGGTTATCTCCATAGCAATAAATAAATCAATTAATGTTGTTTGTTGTGATTTGATAATAAATGGTTGTTCTCCAATATATCTAACATCAAAACCAGCATCATTTTCATGAGCTCATTCTGGCATTTTGTCTTTGTTATCATCATTGTACACTTTGATAGCGAGGTTGATGTCTTTAGTTTCAATATCGTCATGAATAACCATAATGTCATCTGAATTGTATTCATCAGGAATTTCTTCACATGATTTATAGGTACTTTCATTATTAGAAATTATATTATTTTTCATTTGATTAATCTTGTTTTGGACTTCTTCATATAGTTAATAAATTTCATTGAGTGTGTTTTGTAGATTGGTGATGTCGAGTGTTTGAAGAGGTGTGACTTTGATACTTCTAATTTCTTCTAACAGTTCATCTGATTCAGCAACACATTGATTGATTTCTTAAATGGATTCTTCTTCTTCAGTTATTGGATACATGGTAATTTGCCTTTGTCAATTCTCATAGGTGGCTGATTAGTAACTACTTGTTCTGTTTGTACGCAATTATCACAATAAGTTGAATCACAGGGAATAAGACAGTCTTCACAAAGTTTGACATTGATAAATTCAAGTTTGGCAAGTTGCAATCGTCATTCTGGAGAGATTTGTTGATAGATTGAGTGGAAGATTTCAGTAGCTAAGGCTTCTTCTGATCCACTATATTCAATATATCCAATTTTGTTTTCAATATCTTCTTTACGTATGTACCGAGATAATATTGCTTTTCCAATTTCATTACAGGCCGAATAGACATCAATCAAGAGAGATTGTTCTCCGAGTTTTCGAATGGTTCCAGAATTTTTACATCATCCACCATGATTAAACCAAAAGATGTATTGGTGCTCATAAGTACAGAAGTATCATTTTTTATAGCTACCAGTAATAGTATCTATGAATTCAACGAAACAAAGTATAATATCAATTAATCAAAGTATCACTTCCAACAGAAACGAAAAAAATCAAAACCAAAACCAAACCAATTATGTCATCGCCATCTTCGTCGTCATTACTTCATCATCGGCGTCGTAGTTGTGCGAAATTATTAATCGATTCCTATCCCTAGTAGAAAGTCGATAATTAAATTTTCGCAAGTTTTAACACGATAAATACTAGCGCTAACAATAATAAAATGTCAGATTCTAGTCAAAATTTCAACAAATTTGGTTGGTTCATTGGTTACAATATCTTGTGCAAAACGTTTTGTATCAAAGACGAAAAATGAAAGTTTATAAAAACTCTAAATCTCTTTGATCTCTTTAATTCATTCGATTAAGTAGCTGCATATCGTATCGTTATCGTTATTGAATTTAGTTCTCAAACTTGCACACGCAATTCGTTGAACGTTTTGCATTACATTTAATAACGATAGCATTTATCGTGTTAAAACTTGACATTGTAGTCAATTTCACGTTCAAAGTTCACGGTTTGGCTAATCTTTCGAAGCATGTGAAATAATCATTTGTGTCCGAAATGTCACAAGATTCTACAATGTCAAGGTGGTGAACAATTTAATCATTAGTTGTATGAAAAATCGACTTTTTATAACATCATGTATGGCTATCTGGGTTTTGGGTTGTCATTCTTGAAATTTTAATTACAGAAAAGCTCGAGAAGCTATAATCGAACGGGCTAAAATTTTTCAGGCGAAAGGTGAGGACGTTCCTGAGGACGACCTTTATCTTGATACTATCTTATCATTGAGTGGAACGATGGTACTTGCCTGGTCTTTGAGAATAGATAAGTCCGCGAAGCCCAAGCGGACGGTTCTATCCATGAGTCTCAATTGATCCCTTCGAGATAAAATACGGTGAATTGCAAGACGAGAAAATTCACGTGAAAGGTGCTGTGCTGGACATGCCAACAGTGTTTAAATTTCATTTAAAAGTTAATCTGCGCGCCCGCATACTTTCAAAACAATCTATCTGCATGATATAATATCAATACCTCCATTATAATATTAATATTAAAGGATGAATTTTTTATCTGCGCAATTGCGCAGGCCAATTTAAACCAAAGCCGTGGAAATAGAAGTCCGAGTTATTCAAAACGAGCTATACTCCAAAACTTACAGTTTGTGTAGATAATCGGAGGGTCCGAAGTGTACAACTGCCGGGTTGATGGATATAGATGAAAATTGCGCTCGGCGTAATATTTCTCCGGGCATTGCTTGATGGGGTTTCTAAATCCATCCTTCTAGTGTTTTGAGCGAATCTATTTTCAAAATCCAAAACATTTCGCAGTGAACTTTCAGTTCCCCTTATACAACAGAAACCCTAATTTGGAGACGTTTGGCGAAACTAATTTCGCCGAAACATTCGTCTGCTTGTTCTTGCTTGGTAATAGAGTACAGCGAAAACACTTATATCTGGTAAACGGATATATGACACGTTGGATATAATTTCTTAAGCTTAATAGTACTCCTTACTTACTCGCTCGAATGTCTGATAAAGTGTTTTAATTATTTTTGTGCCTGCAATCGATAACGAAATGACACGTCCTTTATTGAAACAACTTGGGATTGAAAACAACAAAACTTTTTTGTTGATTGAAGAAATATTTTTCTTGTACCATGAATTTCATCCGAGAAAGTTATTTACATCATTTGTGTATTTTGCGAATCGCACAAAGGAAGCTAATAGTCTAAGGTTTTGAATCGTTTCCATATATCATTTCATAATCTCTTGATTCTGTATTTATATAAATTTGCATGTAAATAATTCAGAACTTACGGAATTTCTTTTGATGAAATGTTAAAATAATCTTTGTATCGTATAATTGACAAGGGGACAAAATTCCATGTTAATGTTGATTTTGAAAAAACTCTGAACTGATAAATTATTAACTAGAAATGATATTTTTCAAAAAGCAACATCTTCGTCTCCTATAATTCACATTTTTAATCTCCAAATCTATCTTCATAGTCTCAAAAAATCCGCTCTTTAAATACAATCTCAACGCACAATGTAAATCTTTGTTAGTTCCTTTGCCACGAACATACAATCTCGCCGTGGCCAATTGTGCAGCTTGACTTCCACTTTCTGCGCCCAAGTTTCGCCAGTAGAAAACTTTTGCCGGATCGTAATTCGGTTGCAGCAGCGAATAATATTCCGCCAAGAAACTTTGCGTTGCATAGTTTCCTGATTTTGCTGATTTTTCGTACCAGTGAATACCTTCTTTCTTGTTACCCTCATTGTGAGTCGTCGGTGTTCCTATGTTTTCTAAATAACAAGTTCCTAGCCATAAGGATCCAAGAGTGTCACCATTTTCTGCTGCTATTTTGAAATATTTAAATGCGGAGTCGATGCTTTTTTGGACGACGAGTCCCTGTATGTGAAGGTATCCAAGAAGAAAAGCATATTTCGCATTTGAATTGATATTTGTAAATTCTTCTTGTTTGAACGCCTCGGATAGTTCTAAAGTGTTAGTTTTAATATATTCGGTAATAGAGTTTACTGGTTTTGAAATGCATGGAATTTTTGTAGCAAAATATTCTAAAACTAATTCGTATAACTTATCTAGCGTTAGTGTAGGCATTTTTAACAATAATACGTACAGAGATACATGACTTTATTAAATGGTCATTTATGTAATTTGGCTGCGTAATGACAGTGTTCATCATTTTTATATTTGCTGATACATGTAGTAATAGCGACGATGTTCAGTATATTGACTATACAAGGAAATAGTTGTACGTTCATGTAACGCCATGAAGATACCATGAAGAACTAATATATTGTGTAATGTTTCACCGTTATAGAATAATAATAACAATAATAATAATAATAACAACAATAATAATAATAATAATATAATAATAATAATAATAATAATAATAATAATAATAATAATAATAATAATAATAATAAT